GCATATCCTCAAGTCCTCTGTGCAGTGCAGATGTCCAGAGTCACGCAGAGGTGGAGGTGACTTGGTATTTAGGCAGATCTTTGGGGGACAGGTCTGGGCCATGTTTGTCAGTTTATTTCCACACACAGAACTGGAAGTCACAGTCAGCATGCTAATCTGGCTGGCCCTGAAGGACCCTGAAAGGAAACTAACCAATCTTCTGATCCACCCATTGTTTGGACAGATAGGCCTTCAGGCAGAGCCCAGGCCCAGAGTCCTTGCTGTCCTCTGGCCAGGTCCCTGGGCCTCTATGCACTTCACCCCTGTTCTCCTGGGCTTCTGGGCCCCTGGGGATACAGCAGTGGGTGAATTACAGGCCTGTTATTTGTCTGGAGATGAGAAAGATGCCATGGGGCCACCTCTCAGTACACACATCATGGTCCCAGACTGCCCACCAGGGAACTAGCCCAGGCCCAGGTCAGCCCTAAGTGACCCCAAGCGCCATGCTGTGACCTGAACTATAGACCATTTGCAGGGGCTAGAAGGGAGAGCAACTGAAGCCAGACTGGTGTCTCCCCGAGAGAGGGGCTCTGGGCAGATGTCCCAGGAGAGGGGTAGGAAAGCCTTTCTCACTCAGCTCCCAGTGCCTCAGTTTCCCTAAGAGGGAACTTATAAATTAGGGCCTTCTGTCTCCTGCACTAGAACTAGAGCTGAACAGGAACTAAGAGGAGCCTGCCACTCAGTGCCATGAGGCCGTCATAAGGGTGGGGAGTAGGAACAGAAAGGAGTGGTTCAGAGGGTGGTGACCCATTGCAGCACTTCAGAAATAGGCTGAGCTCACTGGCTCGGAGCCTCAGTCCCCACACATGCCCAAAGACTGAGCTCAGATCTGTCCTGCATGATGGAACAGCCTGTAGTGGCAGCCATGACTTCCAAATATCTCACTTGACGGACCGTAAGGCTCCAGTTATGTACCAACCCCAGACGAAGGGTGTGGAGGGAAACCAGGGTGCGGAAAAGGGAACTATTCCCAATTCCCCACCCAGGGCCTCCTGAGGGCTGGCTGGCTAAGGACCAGTCTCCTGTGAGTGGCATGAAGGACCTGGGACAGGGCCAAGGCACCACCTGTCTCGGCAGCTGCCCTCCCCAGGCACAGGTGACAGAGAGCTAGTGAAAGAAAATGAACTATATGTTGTGTCTGAGGAAGTGAGCCGGTGTGTGTCTGTGTGTGCGTGTGTGCGTACACATATGTGTGTGTGTGGAGGGGGCACGGCTGGTGTGTGTCTGTGTGTGTGTGTGTGTCTGTGTGTGTGTGTGTGTCTGTGTCTGTGTGTGCCAATGGTGGAGCAGGTGTGAACACCAGAAAACATGTGTTCGTGTGAGACAGAAACAGGACAGAGAGACTGTCCGCTGGAGCGTGGCTGACTCCACGGAAGTCAAGCCAGGCTCTAGGCCTACATCCCTGCAGGGGTGGTGGTGGAGGGGGGCTCATCAGACAAACCTGCAGAGCTCACCTCTCACTCAGCCTCCATCTCCTGGGCCCTGTGTCTGTGTGTGTGTGAGTGTGTGTGTGTGTGTGTCCATCTGTCTGCCTGTCTTCCCAAGGACCAATGAGGAACCAGTCCACTCTCAGACCAAGGCTACAGTGGCTATTAGAGGCCTTTCTCCCTCCCCAGGGCTGGTGAGTTGACTGAGGGTTATCACAGCTGGCTTGGGGAAGCAGGAGTTCAGGAGCACTTAGGAAGTGACCTTGGCGGGGGTGCTGACTGACAGAGTCTGGAACAGGGAACAAGGGCTACACTGCTGGACCGACCTTCAGCCTCAGATATAGGAGGTGCACACAGGCCATTGCTTACCCTCGGCTCTTGTCCAGCTTCAGGTCTCTAGTAGGACATAGTCACTGCAGAAAAGGAGAGAAATCCATACAAGTCCAAAGCAGGGTGGGCCAGGGAGACGGCTCAGTGGATAAAGGAGCTTGCTGCTCGAGCTGAAGGTCTGAGTTCAGTCCCCAGGACCCACATGGTTGGAGGAACCAACTTCCTAAAGTTGTCCTCTGATGTCTGGCTGGCCTGGAACTCAATATATAGTCCAGGATGGGCTTGAACACATAATGTCCATTTGTCTCTGCCTCCTGAGTGTTGGGGTTGAAGGTGTGGTAGTCATTGTTGTCACTGTTTATGGACACATAGAGAGGCTGCCCACCTCTTCTCATGCTTGTTGACTTTGCCTGTGACTCACCTATGCATGTCCTGTGCCTATATCCTGTAGGAAATTTTTACTGTTTTATTGATTTTTGAAAGTTCTTTATATATTAAGGTTAACTCTGTATATTATTCAGTGTAACCCCTAAATTCCCCTAGAGGAGGAGGAGGCACAGACTTTTTCAGGGTCTGAGCACTGTGTGTTTGTCCCTCATTGGGCTAAGAGGCTGGAGTTGAGTGGCAGGATGGGACTTGTCTGGTCAGGCAGAGGGGGAGTAGTGGTGGTGAGGAAAAGAGAGGGAAGGGTCAGAGCTGAAGGCAGGGGCTCTGAATGACAACTTTAATGGAAGGCAGATGGAGGAAACAGGACCCCTTGCTGACAAGAGGGGTCAAGGGGCATAGGGCTTTCTAAAGACAGGAGCCTGGGTGACTGGCTGGCAGTGGAGCCTGGCTCCTCTGTGAGATGCCTAAGGGCTACGAAATGGCAAAGGTCAATCCCTCCCTCCTGCAAGTCTAGACCCTCTAAAGACCCAAAGGCAGAGGAGCTGAAGGGACTCTCCGAGTCCCTGGACGATTATATGTAGAGAGGGCAGGTAGACTGGCTGACAGTCTACCCTGCCGTGCTTCACTGGGCAAGCTCCGAAACCGCCTGAGCCAGATTCCTCCTGCTAGTGAAAAGGAAAAAAATGTTATTTATCTAATAGGTCTTAACAGAATCAGTGTGAAGAGTGCTTAGCCTGGTGCTGGGACCGGAGGAGGGCTCCAATAGATGCAAGTTAAGTTAACTCTTATGTGTTCTACATGTGTTTACATTAAGAATGCCATGTATACACACATGCCGTGTGTGTGTGTGTGTGTGTGTGTGTGTAGGTCAGAGGACAACCTATAGGAGTCCGTTCTCTCCCTCTGCCATAGATCCTAAAGATTGAACTCAGGTGGCAAGCCTCCACCTTCTGAGCCATCTCAGCAGCCCAGTTCTTACTCTGTCCCCCCCCCCCTCAGCCATTGGTGACATCAAGATGCCTTTCACTGGACCTAGGCCTGTGAGAGCTGAGCAGACGATCAAGTTACAGGCGACCACTGGCAGGAGGGACGGCTCAGCCATTAAAGGCTGCAACCAAAAAATATAAGTGAAGACATTGAGGCCAAGGCCAGAAGGGCCACGTCTGGGCTCATCTGTTACACGGGGCTTGTATTCTGCCGAGTTCCACTGAAGCTCTAGTCTGAGGACCTTCAAAGTGACCTTATTTGGAAGAAGGGTCTTAGAGATTTCAGGAGGTAAAATTACTGCCATTCTGGATCAGGGCAGCTTCCAAATCCAAGGGTTGGAGCCACTGAGGAAAGAAGGAGTGACCTGAAAAAGGCACAGACCCGAAGCAGGAAGCCACGATGTCCAGTCTACATGGTGCTGAGTATAAAACTCAAGGCTCCGTGCATGCCACCCAAGCCTTCTCTCGGCTGAGCCACTCCCCAGGTTCCTAAATGCAATTTTTTTTTCATGAATATGGATGTTTTGCCTGCATGAACGTCTGTGCACCACTTTTGTGCCTAATGCCCATAGAGTCCAGAAGAGGGCATCAGATCCCCTTGGACTAGAGTTATGGATGGCTGTGAGCCACCATGAGGGTGTTGGAAGCTGAACCGGCCACCCTCCACCCCACTCCTTTCCCCTTTCGGAGATAGGATCTCACAATGTAGTCCTGGCTGGCTAAGAACAGAACCTAGGTCCTTTGAAAGAGCAGCAAGTGTTCTTAACTGCTGAACCATCTCTCCAGCCCCTGCCAGACTTTTCCCCCATTATTCCCTAAACAACCCAATAAAACAATTACCAACCTGGTATTTACTCTGTTCAGTGTAGAGTCAACTAGAGCTAATATAGTCACAAGAGGAGTTCGAGTGTAGCCATGCTGTGTAAGATCCTTGAATGCCCACGGGTTTGGTGTCCTGGGGCATCCCGGAGCCAAGCCTGCAATCTCAATACTCGAGAAATGGAGGCAGGAAGGCTCGGGAGTACAATGTCAGTCTCATTCTGAGAGTTCAAGGCCAGCTCAGGCTACCAGAGATTCTGTCTTAAAGCAAACAAGAAACTTTGTTCCGAACCAGTAATTCTGGGGCAGATGGCAGGTGCCAAGCAAGAAGACCACAAGCCCCAGTAAGGGACTGGAGCCCCGGCTATGATGATGCAGCCTCAGGACCTCCACATATCTGGCCTTTCTACAGTCATCAGGGCCTTGCTGCAGGACTCAAAGTTTCAGCCACTCAAATTTGTGTAGGAGGAAGCTACCTGGTACAGTCCTTTCTGCTAAGTCTCAGCTGCCTCTCTGCTCAGGGTCTAGACAAGTGATATTATGCCAATTTTACAGACCAGGACATGAAGATTCACTGAGTCCCTCCAAGGAAAAAGGGGAAAGTGGGCAGCCTGTTTGGCCGGGGGTCAAGGGACAACAGAGAATAAGGAACTGTTCCCAGTGTCTGTGGGGAAGAGTTGGAGTACAAGGTCCTCATCGCGCCCTTCAGTCTACAGTGGAGAGACTGAGGTGGTTGCAGCCCTTCCTTAGAGAGTGGCTAAAGTCCAGTAGGCTGCAAAAAGCAGTGTTCAGGCTCTGAACGGGGCCTGTGTCACCTCGGGCGGGAGCGTGGCGGGGCCACACGCCCCCTCGGAGCTCGGACGCCCTCCAGCGGCCTCGCGGGGAATTTCAGGGCAGGGCGGAGCCGGGCAGGTCTTCCTCGGCGGCAGGGGGCAGTGTGACTGCACATGCGTCCTCACAGGCCCACAGGTCCGGAAGTAGGAGTGGTTGGTAACTTCCGGTGCGGAACTGCGGCCTGGGAGGAGGATTGCTCACCGGCGCGGGGTCTGAACCGGTAGATCGGGAGGTGGTGGCGAGTGGGCGTCGGGACACGCGGCCGACGCCATGCCGTTCCTGCACGGCTTCCGCAGGATCATCTTCGAGTACCAGCCCCTGGTGGACGCTATCCTGGGCGCCCTGGGCATCCAGGATCTGGAGCGGCAGGAGCACCTGGACGAGTGAGTCGCCGCGGTCCCCTGTGGTTGTCGCGGCGAGAGCGGGAGCTGCATGGCTGCGAGCTCGAGTGCCAACCTGAGGCAGGCTCCCAGCGTCTTGCAGGGTAGTGGGCCTGGGTCTCGACTCCGCTCCCCGTGCATGGATGCCGGAGGAGACGTCCTGGCTGCGGCCGACAGCGCTCTCTGCAGACAGCAGGTCTCTCCGAGAGCCTGTGGGGAAACCAGCTGGTGTGGTCCCTGTGCAGACTTCCTTGGGAACTCGGAGCGCTACGCCTTCGGAGTGCTTGTGCCACAGACAGGCGCGCACACAGACCAACATCTTGGTGTGGGATGCCCGGAGTAGGGTGGGGCAGAGGAATTGGGAGAGCGTTGGGAGAGTCATGAGCCGGAATTGCAGAATTATCAGCCTCACCAAGGATGTCTTTTCTGGACACATCAGCTCTTTCCTCTGCGGCCTACTCTGTAAATGCAGTGCCAGGCGTTTTTCAGAACTCGGAGGCGGGGCCGCAGGGCTACACAACAAGGCGCTACTGCCCTCCCTTGGCGGAGCCTAGCATATTCAGGAGGGCTGCTCCAGATAAGCGTTTTGTGTCCGGGCGGTGGTTGGATCTTGGGTCCCACCTGTTGCAAGAGGTCTGGTGGGTGAGATTAGGGAGACGGGCAAGTGAGGAGCCTCGAGGTGACTCTAAAGGTGGTGTTCTGGCCGTTGTCAGAGCCCAAGAAGCACTTAGTAGGTAGTTTTGTCTAGGAAGGGTGAAAGCTTTAGAGCCACCCTTAAGGGGTTGTGAGAGACGGCTGACAGCTTGCCCTCTGATAGCAAGCTGAAGGACGGCTTTGAAATCACTTCATGCTTTTGACCAAGAGTTGTGCCCCACAGAGCATGGGCTCTTTGTGTGGGTGATTGTGGAAGGGCATACAGGCTGGGACCAGTGGTCCCCGAGAGTCCCACTTTCTCTGTTCTGCCTCTTGGTCCATAGTTACGCTTCCAGCGAGGAGAGCCGGATCCTGGTTCTTACTGAGCTGCTGGAGCAGAAGGCTCACTCTCCATTCTACCAGGAAGGTGTGAGCAATGCTTTGCTCAAGATGGCTGAGCTGGGCCTGACCCGGGCAGCCGCTGTCCTTCTGCAGAGTGGAGCCAACCTCAACTTTGAAGGTCAGCTGCATCCTGAGGATGGGGGTGGGGTAAGCAGGGCTAGACATCCAGGCTTGGCCTCGGCTCTCCCTCTTGTCTTTGAGGTGACTTTCTTTGTTCTTTTCCTTTGGGTGGCCTTCTGGGGGCTCTTAGCACCTCTCACACGTCTTCCAGACCAATCGTTCTAACCATGGAGAAATTACACTGGCAGTGCCCAGGGCTAAGGAAAGGTGATTTCCTGAACTCTGAGCTGTCCTGCAGGTTTTGCTCTGGCCCTAGAGGTGGGAAGATAAAACCACACTAGGCATAAGTTACAGCACGATGCATAGGGTCCTTAGGTGTCAGGGATGATTAAGGGCCAGCCACCTGTCTTGCCATTGGCTGTCACCCCAGGAGACAGGTAGACAGATAGGACTGCCTGTGAGCCAGTGGGGGCCAGTGCTGACCCACACATAGGCCTTCGTGTCGGTCATTGGAACGCAGGCTCAGAGGCTGCAGGGAACTTGCAAGCTGCTGACGGGGGAGGAGAGGGTGTTCCAGAGCCCACCCACATGGTCAGATGGCCTGGCTGTGTGACTTATTGGGAAGCTGAGGCAGAAGGATCTCTAGTGACCCTGGGCTACCTAGCAAGGTCAGGGCCGCCAGGTGGGACCCTGACTCAAGAAAGCAGAGGCTGTGCTGCCGAGCTTGAGCAGCCGCTCTGCATTCTCCTCAGGAACAGCCCTGGGGGAGTAAACAGGAAGTCCAGCCAGTATAGGCAACACACAGGACTTCATCTTCATACTTCAGGTGGGAGTGCTGGGGAGAGGCTCTAATGCTAGGTCCGGAACCTTCGAGAACAGACTAACCTGAACTTCTTTGCCTTCAGACCCTGTTACCTACTACACAGCCCTGCACATCGCTGTCCTGAGAAACCAGCCTGACATGGTAGAGCTGCTGGTGCGCCATGGGGCTGACATCAACAGGCGGGACCGGGTAAGTCTTGGGCATGTTTGGTAGGTTTACCAATGAGCCTTTGCAGCCCCAGGCAATATGGCTACTGTCTGTCCCCTTGGCTCAGATCCATGAAAGCAGCCCCTTAGATCTGGCCAGTGAGGAACCGGAACGCCTGCCCTGCCTGCAGCGCCTCCTGGATCTTGGAGCAGATGTCAATGCAGCCGACAAGAACGGTAAGAGAGACGCTGAGAAGTTAAGAGGTTCTTCCAGGGGACCCACTTCAATTCCCAGCACCTATATGGCAGACCACAACTGTCTTTAACTGCAGTTCCAGGAAATCTCATGACATCATATGGTACACAAAAATACATTGTGCAGACAGAGCACTCATACATAAAATAATAAAAATTAAGTGTCATGGTGGGAGACTGGCCATCCCTGGGGCTGGATATCTGTTAAGGGTTCAGGGAAGACAGGTAAGTGTCTGGGTGCTGGCCCCAGTCAATGACATAGCCATGGCTGGCACACAGGCAGAGGATGCCAGTGTGCCCGAGTCCAGCACCCAGAGGCTCTGGAGAGAGTGCGGTCACTGTCTGCACACTGTCCCAGGAGGCATCTTTAAGAGGTGAGTACACCCAGCATCTGTGTGCGGATGCAGACAGGTCTTGCTTGGCCCTCTTGTTCCTATTTTTGTGTGGGTGAAATCAAGCCAGCAGCTCTTCCCTCAGCCCTGAGAATCCTGCTTCCGCCCACCTCTGGACCTCATCCTCCCTCTACTTTGTAGGGAAGACAGCGCTGTTGCATGCTCTGGCCAGCAGCGACGGAGTGCAGATCCACAACACAGACAACATCCGGCTCCTCCTGGAGGGAGGTGAGGGTCCCCATCTGCCCACACTGCAGCTGCTGCTTCACCCCCACCACCACCACCACTGTTTGCTAAGGGCTGCTGGTCCTCTCTCATTTCTGTTCCCATGGCTCTTCCAGGGGCAGATGTCAAGGCCACCACCAAAGATGGGGACACTGTATTCACATGCATCATCTTCCTGCTTGGCGAGACCGTCTGTGGGGACAAGGAGGAGGCCCCAATGATCAACCGCTTCTGCTTCCAAGTCACACAGCTTTTGCTGGCCCATGGTGCTGACCCCAGTGAGTGCCCGGCCCACGAGTCCCTCACACACATTTGCCTCCAGAGCTTCAAGCTGCACTTCCCGCTCCTGCGCTTCCTGCTGGAGTCGGGGGCAGCCTACAACTGCTCCCTGCATGGAGCATCCTGCTGGTCTGGCTTCAGCCTCATTTTTGAGAGGCTCTGCTCGCACCCAGGCTGTGCCGAGGATGACAGCCATGTTGAGCTTCTGCATAAGGCTGAGGCTGTGCTGGACCTCATGGTAACTAGCTCCCAGAGGCTGCAGCTGCCTGAGAACTTCACTATCCACCCAGTGGGTAGCTTGGCAGGAAAGATCCAGGCCCTTCATGCTTCCCTGAGGCAGCTTGAGAGCTACCCGCCACCTCTCAAACACCTGTGCCGGGTGTCCATCCGGCTGTACCTTCGACCATGGCCTGTGGACACCAAGGTCAAAGCGCTGCCCTTGCCTGATAGGCTCAAGTGGTACCTGCTGAGTGCACACAGTGGGACAGAAGACACTTGCTGATGTACCCCAGGATGGAATGATCTGGGGTAGCTGGAGCCAACCTGAGGGTAGACCTAGTACCTGTGACGGCCTTTTACTGCTATGAAACCACTAGGGTGGTGTCCTGGAGGCCAAAGGCATGGCTGCCTCCAGGGAAATTCCCAAATCCCTCTCAGTATTTCACAATTTGAGGGGCCAGTGCAAACAGGATGCTACTGCCCTCTATATTAGGAGCTGACCAGGCCATTTGCAGGGAACTAGGGGCCAGGCCCCTCAGAACCCCAGCAGCTGTGGTTGGTCCCATGGGGGAGGCATATGCCTGGGTTTTTTCCAGGGCCAGTGCCAAATATCCTGAGCCATCTATTTAGGCCCTACCTAGTCTGCTGCCTCGGGTCTCACTATGCCTTTGAGGAGCTGGAGACAGAACTGAGACCACCACAGGCTAGTCTTCTGGGTCTGCCCAATCCTGTGGTTGGTGGTAGCTCTGCTCATGCCACACCCAGGTCTCGGGGATGGTGCCTTCTGTTTAAAGGCATCACAAGCACAGCAGGATTTGAGGGGTTCCCCAGACGACACGGCTGGGGCCAGAAGCTGGCTCTACTCTAGTGTCCGCCCTTACAAGACCTTCCCAGTCAGCTTGGCTTTTGGGTTGTATGAATGCCTTTGGGAATGAGCAGAGATGATTAAATATATTTATAATGTTAAACTCCATGTCTTTGTATGACAATTTAGCATGTTCAAGTGATCAGACACACATCCACACAGACTGCCTGGGCGTTTGAGAACAGGGCTCACCCTTTTATTGGCTGTACATGCCTGTCAGGGAGGAGCTCTCAAGGAGCTGCAGGCTGCTCTGACCCATCACCAAAGAGGATTGGGGCTGTGATTTCTCTAAGTGGTACCGCCTGGCAGGTACCACATGTGGCTCGCCTGGCTGTCCTGGAACACAGCAGTCCACACACTTCAGGTCCTAGGCAACCAAGTGAAGAGTCTGTCCCCTTAGGCAGGCAGTCCAGTGGGTGACAACTCAGCTTCCCATCGGCCCTGTGAGGCGTTGCCAGGGTGACAGGGCTGTACTGCCCAATCCAGGGCACGCCTCCCCAGGGGCTTGTCCCTCTCCACTGGAGTCACTGGTGGATGGCAGGTGTGTCTCTGGCCTGCTAGCTGCTGGCCCCCAGCTCTGGCCCTGACTTCATCTCAGAGCGAAGCTGTAGACATGATAAATTTCATCTGGCAGGTTCTCCTGGCGTTCCTCGGCCAGGAGGCTGAGGCCTGCACTTCGGATGATCCGGCGGACCACCTCAAGGTCACGGCACACGCTGCTGTCCACATCGTCCAGGATCACACCCTCCTGGGCCATGTTGTCTTTAATGACAATGATGCCATTGGGGCGCAGACCCCGCTTGCATCGGCGCAGAAACTCAGCCAGGTGCTGGTCCGTCAGGTGACCTGAGGAGAAGAGAGGCAGGAGTGTGCAGTGTGTGCCCTTAGCACACACCCAGCAAGCCTTGTCTCTAAGACCTAGCTCATGTCAAAGGAGGCCAGAGTTCTGACATCATCCACACAAAAGCAAAGAGTCAGAAGCTGGGATTTAACAGACTGCTGTCCAGCCCTGCCTGACACCTGCCCATCATAGCACCCTCCCTTCCTAGACCTGGATTGGAGGGTGGGACTGAAGCCCCTAAACAAAAGGGCCGGGACCACAGTTTTCACACTAGTATTAAGCAGCCCCCTCCTGAGGAGGCTCATGCTACAAGGTCACCCGCCCTGTGCATAGCATTCCAGATGAGGTGTCAGGTCACACAGGCATGCCCCCTGTACTGGCTGGTTTCACGTGTCAACTTGACACAAGCTGGAGTTATCACAGAGAAACGAGCTTCAGTTGAGGAAATGCCTCCATGAGATCCAGCTGTAAGGCATTTTCTCAATTAGTGATCAAGGGGGGAGGGCCCCCATCCCTGGGCTGGTGGCCCTGGGTTCTATAAGAAAGCAGGCTGAGCAAGCCAGAGGAGCAAGCCAGTAAGCAGCACCCCTCCATGGCCTCTGCATCAGCTCCTGCCTCCAGGTTCCTGCCCTGTATGAGTTCCTGTCCTGACTTCCTTTGGTGATGAACAGCAATGTGGAAGTGTAAGCTGAGTAAATCCTTTCCTCCCCAGTTTGCTTCTTGGTCATTAAGACATCCCCCAACTCCCACTGCAAACAGCAGAAGTGCAGTTACATCCTGGCCTGGCTGGGCTGTGCACCACACTGCATCACTTGGTGGAAATTTGAGTTGAGGCCAATCTAAGCTATAGAAGGCAATCTAAGCTATAGAAGGCAATCTATAGACATGGGTGGAGATGGCTTGGACTAGGAGCACCCACTTCTCTTCCAGAGGATCAAGGTTCAGTTCCCAGGATCCAAGGTGGTTCACAGCCATCTGTAACTCTAGCTCCAGGGGACGATGCCCTCTTCTGGCCTCTATGAGTACTGCACACACAGGATACATGGATTCACAAGCACTTCTACATAAAAATTTGAAATCTTTTTTTTTTCTATTCTAAGTTTATTTTTAATTAATCTATTCTTACTTTTCATGTGTATGTGTGTTTGGCCTGCATGTAGACATCTGCACCATGTGTGTGTCTGGTGTCCACTCAAGCCAGAAGAGGGCACTGGATCCCCTGACATGGTCGTGAGTCACCATCCGGGTACTATGAATGGAAGCAAAGCCTTTGCAAGAACCCCCAGTGCTCTTATTGCTTAGCCATTTCTCTAGCCCCTGAAATAAAAATGTAAAAATAAATCCTTACAAAGCTCATTTTCACATCTCCAAATGAGAGTCACTGAGCACTCAACATGGCCCCACCTAGAAGCTGCTGTTCAGCTGGCTTCAGGCATCTCCTCATGGTCCTGGGAAGTGGGAGGGAGCTGCATCTCAGCTGGCCAGCTCACTGCAGGAGCAGAACCAGGCTTGTAGAGCTGGGGGAGCACTGAGTGGCAGGGAGCACGGTGTGTATGGGTAAGAAAAACAGGACCCTTACCTATCACCCACTGGATCCAGATCACGTCATACGAGCTGGGCTCCGGGCTGAAGTCCTGGAGACCACAGCAGAAGTAGTTCCTCACTCTCTTGCCCTCTTCCCCCAGGTAGGTCTTGGCTTTGGCCAGAAAGTCTTCTGTCACATCGACCATGTCGACCACCCTGAAGAGCGGCAGAAGCAGGCGCTTGGTGATCCTTCCAATGCCAGCGCCACAGTCCAGGGCACAGGAAGTCCCCGTCTTGTTTGGGCCTTCCTAAAACACAGGGGCAATGTATAACCCACAAGGCACCACAACCGCAGGGTCCTTCCCATCAGTCCCAGAAAGCTGCTTCAGGCTCCTGCACTGGCCTGTCACTGAAGGGCAAGCAGACTCTCTAAGGTCACTTCAAAGTGACAGCTTGAAAAAAAACAGGTACATCATCTCCTTTCCCTCCAGAGCCCCCAGGAGCCCATAGGGTGACAGCTAGGGAAGGTCAGTGGAGCTGTGGAGAGAAGAGGGCCTCCTGCAGGGCTCACCAATGAGCTATGTGGAGCTCAGAAGGGAGGACACAGACAGACGGCCACATCAGGAGGACAGTTACCACCCACAGCCTCCAGCACTCGTAGGCCAGGCAGGGGCTGTTCCCAGACTACTAAGTCCCTAGTACTTGGCCAGCTTCTGACTTGTGGCCCTGAGACAAAATTCATGGTCCACAAGTCCCACCCAATCACCACCCTCCAGGCCCCTGGTGGCAGCCACCAACAAGATGACAGAGAACCTGCAGTGTGATGTATGGAAGTGGCTCCCCACACTGCCCCACCAGAGCCACAGCCTCTCCTGGAGAGGACATCAGACCTGCCTACCCTTAAAAACCTCTGCAGAAACTTCCGGGAGCTGTTGAGGTCGATGTTGGAGATGTGGCCATACCCCCCGAGCATGCCGTCCACCGTGGGCGGGATCTGTTTCCAGTAGGTCTTGGCCTTTGAATAAAACTGCTTCTCATCCTCGATCACCTCGCTCGTCATGATGTCACCAGCCCCACAGTTGCCAGCCACCTCTCTGCTCCCCTGAACACAGAAGAGGCAGGGTGAGCAGGGCACTGAATAACAGGAAGAGTCTAGCATACAGGTAATACTTTGAGGTGCAAACCTGCCCAGAGAGAGCAATGTCCAGCCAGCTACAACACCCCAGACATCCGTGTGACTCTCTTGGTGACCTACCACCTCAGGACATGCAAAGGCCACAAAGTAGAATCCCCTGACTTCTGCTACAGACACTCCAGGAGGCCTGAGCAACATCCATGACTTTCTACTCCCTCAGTGGCAAGCGATCAGGTCAGGAAGGGCCAGCCCTTCATTCCAGACCAGGTTCTCAGCCAGGCAACAAGCTGTGTAGCAACAGGCAGGAGCTAGGCACAAATGCGACCAACAGTAAGGACTAGGCTGGCAGCACCCACATGACCATGTATCATGGAAGATGCGGGATCACACCTGTGGGAGGTGCTGGCTCCCCTTTGTCCCAGCTATTGCGTGGATCTGGTGTTCATAGTCCAGTTGGAGACAGGGAAGCAGAAAGCTGTTCCAGTACTAGGAGTGGAAGCCAGGCCTTGTACCACTAGGTAAGCACTCCAGTGCTGATCCTTGTGCAGGCTCTAGAGACTGCTTTCTGAATGGGGGGTAGGGGGGAGGCATACAGGGGCAGGGTGCGGTCCAGAGAAAGTGACACGGGCAGCCAGGGCCACAGTGAAAGTGGCTGAGAAGCAGAAGACTTTTGCAGAGGACCAGTCCTGTTAGTCAGCTTCATGTACTAATAATAATGAAAACTAACTGGGCTGGAGAAGTGGCTCAGCGGTTAAGAGCACTACTGTTCTTCCAGAGGTTCTGAGTTCAATTCCCAGCAACCACATGGTGGCTCACAACCATCTGTAATGGGATCCGATGCCCTCTTCTGGTGTGTCTGAAGACAGCAACAGTGTACTCATATACAATAAGTAAATAAATAGTTAAAAAAAAAAAAAGAAAACTAAGTGTCCAGTTCACAAGGAACTACCCCGAGGGCATCACGGGGCACTGGATACAGGAGTGGCTATGCTGACAGATACTGGACAAGTGTTGGTCACTGCTCAGTCACTGTCCAGCACCCAACCTTCCCCCACGCATAGATGCCACCATCACCCACTGTGCAGAAGGACCCGGGAGAACATAGAAACCAAAAGCCCTGCTCAAGTCAAAGGGTCCTGCTCTCCCCACATAGGCGCTTGTCCACTAGAACACTGGCTTTACGAGGCAGGACCCTACGGTTCACACTTCACACCACGAGGGCCCCCGGCGTCATGTCTGATAGGGTAATGACAAAGGCCCTTAGGAGGCCAACAATGTCCCTGCTTGGAGTGTCAGTGAGAAAGCTGGGATGCCCCAGGAACATGACCAGCCTTGGAGCTTCAGGTCTCACCCCACCCACTTGGGTACCACTGTGACAGGGGTATCGCTGAGCACCTAAGTCACAACTTAACACTAACACTCAGCATAGGGATCTGGGAACAAAGAGCCAAGCCAGAGAAAAGAGTGACAACAAGGCCACAGCAGAGAGGACCCTGTGGGCTGCTGGGAGGTCTCTGCCAAGTACCTGTGACTGGAAGGGGGAAGGAACACAAGAAAAGCAAAGGAGTCTCATCTGTCACAGGTCCCCACTGCAGCACAACCA